AAAAAATACATTGCTATATGAATGCACAGTTCCTCTTATTCCTCCTTGGTATGGAGAGAATATAAAGCATTTTATTTGAAGACATGAAAGTCCACATATATTCAGACAAAGGTGCACGCGTCACGTACAGAGAGTTTGAGAAACAGTAGTTCCTCATAAGTTTGAACTGAACTGTCAGCTGAAACTTCAGCCAAATATTCACTGTAGCAGTTGAACTGTCCTGCACATCCTTTGCTCATTTCTAAATAATTCCAAAAAATAATTGCTATAACTAGTTCAAATAGTTTTCCAAAGGGACAGCAAATACTGGTTAAATGTTGTTCTGTTAAAACATGGAAATATATGAATTCTCGTTATGCATTTATTTAGATCCTTTATAACAGTGGTTCTCAACTGGCTTTGCATCTCACATTAGACATTACATGGCAACACAATACAGAACCAAAAATGTTTATCATACAAAAATATAATTTTCTACTGAAAATGATTAATATTAAGTCTACGAAGAACTGCTTAGACTAACTGATATGCCAAATTATAAACATGACATAGGTCGAACAGGATAAATTGCCATTTTGTAAAAACATATTTTTTTGTCAAACTGTTTTATTTTTATAATGTAATAATATAAAAAATGTATTAATATTATTGTTTAGGTCCACCAAATTATATCAACGTAAGCTGAATAGGAACATTTGTTTTTATTAATGTTTTATTGTTTTTTATAAACTATAATAATTATTAATAACCAATCAGTATTTATTATTATTATTATTTCTGTTTCATTTGCATTGTATTTTATAAGCTGCAATAATAATACTACTAATAATTATTATTATAATTATTTTATTATTTGCATTTAAGTGTTGTTTTTTTCTTTGCTGTCTACATCAGACAAGCCTGTGACTCTGTTTTAAGGTGACAATGCACCAGATGAGAACCCCTGCTTTATAACACTGGTTGTTACATGTGAAGATCAGCTTACATTTTGGATTCAGGACTGCAGAACACCGTCGCTTTCTCTGTCTACTTGTGTGTCTTTATTTAACACATGGTCCATTAGTTGAGGAATGAGTCTTTAGAATTCACTGAATTCAGAAAAGTTTATCAACAAGAGCATCTCTTGCAAGACGTTCATGGTCTATAGAGCTGTGGTGGGACTTCAAAGGACCCGCTGGGGGCACCTGATCAGTCTGTGCCCACTACCTTTGTGGGACTGTGCCCGTGTTCATGCCCTCTGCGACCATGTCATCCTCTACTACGTTACTGTAGCCCTCCTTCTCAATGCAGTCAGCCAGTACCTGGAGCACCAGGCGCAGCCGGCGGTCCATGGCCTCCAGATGAGGTCTAATAAGGATGGGTGACAGCGTATCAGTCTGCAGACTTTCCTCCATCAGAGCACTCAGTCTGAACTCCTCCTTAGCCAACAGCTGAAGCCGTGAATGAGTGGACTTCTTCACCCTGAGTCAAACAGATCAACAGTTAGAATCAGTAACCAAAAACCACCAAGTCATTTCCAATTACTCATGTATTGATTTAACAATGCATTTTCTTGTGGATGAGTAAATTAGGACGAAATTAGGACATTAGGAAATTAGTGTCCGCCCACTTTTTCAGCAGCATTGGAGCATTTTACAAGACTGTGTACTTAACAGCTGAGGGAAAGAAC